ACCTGTATAGCGATTTATCGTGCCAACTGCCTTTAATGTCGAATTTCTGTTAGTAAATTTCCATTCGAATGTCTTAAGGAATAGGGCCCAGAGTGCACAATCACGTTGTGAAGAGTTCTTGCGAAGTACAACCTCCGTTTCCATCCCAACTAGCACGTAATTACCATTTTCCAAACTTTTTCCAAAAGTTTTCCATCGAGTGGGTCGAGATAGAGGTCAGCTATCAGAGAAGTTGTTCATGAAAATGCTCCGGTTTCTGAGTTTCTGTTTTATAGTAAGCCTGCTTCCTGTTGTAGTTTGATAGTGGGACGTAATTTGGCTAAAGGGAGAAGGAACTCAAAAGACCCCTTTGTAAACTGGAGTCACCGTAAGGGGACACCATCTCTTTGCTCGACTGAATCTTCCATTTGGAGCTTCTTCACTCCTAGACTTATAGACTTTATGGAGCCTCATGCTCAGTACGAAAAAGCCAATTTTGCAATTGCAAAACAAAACCTTATAGATGCCACGTAATCCTTATCTTTACCTATAGGCATCTATGAACTTTTCTCTTCAGAAATCTTCTCTCGGAAAATCATATATTGGGGAGTCCTTCAAGTGTGGAAGTGTTTTCAAAGTTAGAGTTGAATCTTTAGGGAAAAGTACCGCTGAAAAGAGAGATGAAGAAATGTAGGAAATGTTCAGAGCGATCAAGAGAAAATACCGAGAAAAGTAGAGAAACCAGACTGGGACTTTGTGTTCCAGTGGATGAGTGTACTAAATATCCGATCAAATTTGATTTATCAAGCCACAAACTGCTTAAAAGGGAGCTAAACAGTAAAGACTGCCATCAGGCATCTAGTTTTTGTTCCGGTTCAGAAACAGTGCTATTTGCTGCGGACGCTGAGGCTTTCATGGAGCCGAGCTGGAATCGGCGCAGTGTAGCCTTCCACCTACTGTGGCGTCTGCTATTTCCACAGTTGGTGGAGGATGGGCCGCCTTGCGCTTAACTCAGCCCCCTGCGGGTGAAGGGGCACCCGCAGCAAATGAGACTTCAGAAATTGTCCTCAAAGTAAATGCAGTAGGTCTTCATCGAACACTGCTAAAATCGCAGATGCATGAGAAATTCCATTCCGCAAATATGAGGAGCAGAATGGAAGAACATGGTCCTCCCCTCCATTGAACTATGGTGTCTGACCGGTCTTCAGCACCCTCCGGTTAATAAGTTTCCAAATGTTTCACCACCACATGGCAAGGTTGCATCGTAGTTCCATCGGGGAAATGTACTTACGGTCAGTATAGCCGTCAAATCCAGCGAGAAGCACATATGACAATGATGGACGGCAAGATAGGACAAATTTACGCTAATAACATTAGAGCGAGAATGTGGGGAGCTCGACCAACTGTGAACTCGCCTCCGCTTCTTTCCATGTGCGAGATGGACGGACCTGCACCTGCAGATGTGTGCCACTTTGCCTGCTCAAGATGCAAGGGAATCGAGGCTGGAGTGCGTGGTGATACTGTGTGAGTGACTAGAAGCAGCCATTTGGACTATGGTAGGGGTGTGTGTAGACTGCCGCATGCGGCAGCGCGAGTGGAGTACGGAGGCGAGCTCCACTCGCGAGTACCACTACCCTCTGACCCCGCTCCCACGCAGATTTGACCGGAGAAAGTAGCACACTGCTGCAGGTACGACCTCATTGTCCTCGCACTTGGCAGGACCAGGGTCCAGTGGCTGAGTGCAAAGGTCTATCTCTGAAGGCGGAGCCCACGATCACTTACAAGTGGCTAGAGTCTTAGTCCGCAGGTAGTGTGAAGTGCAGCGAACATCCCTATATAAGTTTTACCCCAGGAAAGGTTAAGGCGGTAAGGCGTAAGGTTGCTCAAGTGACCCCGCCCAAATTTGTAGATGTCGTATTTGGGTTCTTCTTCTTTGCATGCTCTCTCGCTAACTTTTCTGGTATCTCTCTCCCGATATCGATATTGACTGTTTACCTTTCGTGTGACACGAGTAGAATTCTAAGCCTTCCGTGCTACCTACAATTCTCTGGCTCATCTCGAAGTCGCTCTTGAGCCTGCCTTAGTGGAAAAACAGTACGTAAAATTTTATTAATAATTAATGTAACAGATTTGGTGCAATATTTGTTTCTGATCACTTGTATAATTATTGTGTCTCGGCAGTATCATGAGATCCAAGGCCATACTTCAGCTCGCTGGAAAGTAAATATCGGAGTTATGACATACAAAACTTAGAAGAATTCTGCAGTTACTTACTATTTGATAAAATTCCTGATGCGGAGCCACGTTTCACGACAGTTTTCGACGTTATCATGGGTAGCCCTCAGCCATAACGGAGCCGCCTAGAACACGGATGTTATCAGTAGCTTTGGAAAAGGTCCCTCTCTGAAACTATTGGGATTGAACCTTACCCGATTCACTGCCTTTTCGCAGACTGCTTTACCATGGACAATAGGTACTGTTCGATCGTCTTCTCCGTGAATGACCAATACGGGGACGCGAACGCCTCCGATCTGGAAAAGACAATACTGTGTCTAGTACATACATGAAAAGGTATTCCGCGATAGGCAGCATAATGAGTGGAGACTAATGACAAATTCGTCCTATTCATTAGGGCATCCCTCCTGCTCGTATTGGGGGAGCTGCAATGGTTATGAGATCCCTGCCTACTTGAACGTCGTAGAATGGCTCTTCCAAGATGAGCATCACAAGCGCAAGTCAGTTGTTTTGTTATGATAACTGCTGTTTAACGCCGCAGTACGCGTTCGAATGTTATCACAAGAATGCTGAGTTGTGGGCAAAAGTCGTGCCCCAGGCGGGAGTCGAACCCGCACCTCACGCTTTCCGGGCGAGTGCGCTATCCGTTAAAGTTAAACGTGAGTGCTGATAGGCTACGGCATAAAAGCCGTTAAGCTGAGAGGGTAAAAGCGGCCCTGGTGGCGTAACGGATAGCGCACTCGCCCGGAAAGCGTGAGGTGCGGGTTCGACTCCCGCCTGGGGCACGACTTTTGCCCACAACTCAGCATTCTTGTGATAACATTTGACTTCTCATATGGATGCGAC